TGTTGGCAGCCACCATTTTGAACTTCACAAACTGGCATTATGAAAAAACAGTGCGCTTCAGAAATTATCGTTATCCCCGGCTCCTTACACTGAAACTCCTTCCTTTTTTGAAAGACCATGAGTGGGGCATTGGAAAGACCATGAGTGGGGCTTTGGAAAGACCATGTGTGGGGCTACATCAGTTCATGGGTCCATGCCATGGGAAATCAAATAACAACGTAGCAGCGTCCTCTCATTTCGAAAACGTGAAAACAAACATTTTGTGTTCTGGCATGCGTAAAGCTGGCATGTCTGGAAGCAACTTCAGTTTTCCAGTTCAGTCTCACCAATACGATGGCATAACTTTTAATCTTAAAAGGGTAAATTAGATTTCTTGACGCTGATTGTGTTTGCCATATTTGTTGACGCTGAAGTATGGGCACCGTGGCTAGCCCAGGTGCTCCTTACTGCACTACGACTGCGAGTCTAAATACGGTTAGGAAGGAAGACTGTAGTCCAACCATGGGGTAGGAAACAGCCGTGGCCAACCCGGTTGAGGATAACATTTAAGCCTGACGTCTGCTAAACAAACAACGTCCATACGTAGCACAACTACATTTTATAAGCACTTACCTTTTAAGGAAAGGCCTAACCTGTCTTACTCTTCTTTTAAAGGACAAGCTGCTTGCAGCGATACTCAAATTCACTTCAATTTTATTCAAAGTATGGTCGAAAGCATGAAATAGTCTGGTTCCCTGACCTGAAGATCTTTACTATATTGGAAATGCGTGCAGACACCAAAGACAATTGTCGTATTATCTGGCCGGGCTGCCGGATAGGTTTCTGCACGGCAAGCGCAAGGTTCTCACTGATACGACTGGGATTAGCGGACGACGTCTCTGTTGTTTACTCTACAACTGACGGAATCTTTATTGAAGCTCTCCTCAATAAAATAGGGTTAACATGTAACGTTTTTCCCCCCTTGTAAAAATAAGAACACTTGCATCTACAGTAGACTCCATGTACATTTTTCCCAGCAGTAGATTAGGAGCCTTTAACTTTTGACCCTGTAGGGTCAAGCCTCCTAATTGATTTAAGAGCACTCCTACACAAGGACCCACTTTTATCGATTTGGCCTTCTTACCACATTCCTCTGGCAGACTTCTGGTCTAGGATTTATTACTTTATAATTAGATTTTAGTTAGATGTACCCTTGTTCTTCTGGCCTGTGTTCCCAACCCTATTTTCACCACTCTCCACTCTCCAAGCAACATCTCTATGCGCAGTACTCCAACTCTCTCTTGTACAAGCTGTAAAATAGTTTAGAATAAAAGTTCCTTTCTCAAAAGTTAGTACCTGTTGTCAACATTGTTCCTTTTTATACAACACTACTAAAAACAGACTGATTGGATGGTCTATGGGTTGACAGACCGACGTACCCCTGTAATATTAGGAAAATAACACAATTACTTACATGTACAGTAGATAATACAGCACTTATTACACACAACCTGCATGGTGCAAATACTGTGCACACACACAATGGTAGTAAAAAGTCATAGGTCATACACAGTGGTTGGAGTGTATAGCCTTGAGTTCTTGTTATAACCAAAACACAGCTGTTAAACTGGACTACTGAAGGCATGCGACCAATTACACAACACTTTCTTTGGGTACTTTTCACACAACACATCATAAAATGACTTAGCGCACAAGTAGAACCTCTTAATCTGTGTTGGTGAGCACATACTAACTTTCCAATTTGGCATACAAAATCATGTAAAAAGAGTTGCAAAAGTCAGAGTGTGAAACTGCTTGGAATATAAATATACAATATAATTCCGGAGCTAACCTGGATATGCTAACTTGACTTCTCTCCTACTACTGACTACATCTGCCTCAACACAATTCAACACAGATGCCACTTGAGCTATATAATAGAAAAGAAATTTATCCTTACAAGGTGTGCAATCATCCTTAATTACAAACTAGGACATTGTTGAATGAGTGTGCCAAACAAGGGGGTAATCAGAACAAATGGAGAGAAGAGTAAACAATAAAATAACTTCATGTGAACGCCATGATTGTGATTGATCATAAAAACAAGCTAACAATACAAGTCCATCAACATCAGAAGTAACACAGTCTATTAATACTAAGTAATCAAAATAAATTTAAAAATGAAGTTACACACAGGTAGATTACTAAGGACAGCAACTCACCCCATATGGCTACTGTGTAGACTTGAGTGTCGGGCTGTTGACCAGTGGTCTGCTGGGTGGTGGTGCAGACTGAATTCTGACCCCAACATAGGCCCTTAAATGCCTGTTATAGTCTCTTGATGGACATTTCCATCAAGACTATGATTGGTCACTTGCAAGTTTGACCAAACCTTCCTCAAAGTTTGATTTGCATATAAGCTTCCCCATTGGTCAAATCTTTGAAGGTTCATTGTGTAACTCTGCTCATCAGCAGGATCAGCAGATTTTCTCCCAGGGTCCAACAACCTGCAACCTCCAGTTTGATGAATCTCCCAAGCAATGAAAACTGACATTCTGGTTCTAAAAATACTTGGTCAGGACTGTGGGAAAGTTCCCTTAAAACAATGGACTGGGTTAGGAGGTGAGGTAAACATCATGACCTCCGCCATTGCATACTACAGATAGTTCCGTTTGGGTTGTATAAGGTTGGAGAGTATCCCGGGAACGAGGGGAGCAGAATAAGAAATGTAAGATATTAAACCCACAAAAATTATACATTTTTCCATTTCCTGACACAATAGACCTGACCATACTTCTGAAAGCCCGTTTTGGACATGGCCTCAGTCTTTGCCATCGCTGGAGCTGCATGCTCGGAGTCTCCTCGAAAGGCTAGAACCAGCTAAGACTAAGTCAGAGCCACTATAGTATCGCCGTGCGCACGTTTACGTTTTTTTAATTCATTCGTTGCGAGCATGCACTGCAGGCAATGAATGAAAATAGCCTTGTCCATTCTAAAATGTACAAGAAGGGGTCCTTTATTGTCCTGTCATTTTACAGAGGAGGGGGTTCATGGTCAGTTCCACTGAAAATAATCATAATGTACATGCATGTGTACTAAAGCACACTCACGATTCCTGTTGTGTTAAAATTTCACTGTAACACGGACATTCGCACTGTCTCACACACCCGTCTTTAAAAATAGATGAGGCAAACAACAGTCACCCATTGGCGGGATTTGGCAGTATGCCAGTTTTCTGGTGGGAATTGACCTTTCGCGGTAAAATCAAGTGAGAACGTGCAAAATCCGAGACAAATACCTGACTAGTTAACTGTGAACGCATCCACACTTTCACACCCTGGATTCCAAAATTCAGGTTAATCCCAGTTAAATCTCGATAAATTGGTGTTATAGTAAGTGGCAAACCTGTCTATGGTATGCATCATTAAAACATTTTTGCCAAGATTTGTCTGCTGCCCTCATTGGTGGATTTCGATAAATTTGTGTGAAGAGCCCAGGCGGAGACTGAAACCAGCACACAGAAACCGCCAAGTTTTGCTGATTTTACATACGGTAAAAGAGGGGTTAATCCAACTTAATGTTATAAGCCAGTTGAAAGCTATCACATAATGTCAATTTAACTCTACATTAATTCAGTTTGAAGCCAGAGGAAGAACCTGTGCAGAGAATCGCAGTTGCTGTGGTGCTGGAAAAAATGCTGCTGAAACAATGAAATGCTAGTTGATGGGGGACTTTAACATTGATCTTCTTTATAATGAAACTCAAGCTGCAACTAATGGTGACAAAACTTCTTACATACTCATTTTTTTTTCTGCCCTACAATGATGAATCAACTAGAATAACTCAAAAATCAGCAACATTGATTGATGATTTCTTCACTTGAACTATCCTCCACTTTCATCATTCTATTGGACTTCAGTGATCACCTTCCAATAATTTTCTTTGGCTTTGACTTTGCTTAAACTCAGCAGAAACCTACATGTACATGCACACATTGAAAAGAAATACCATACTTCCGCCCGACATGTAAAGATGAATTAGTTAGGATGACTGGGATTCGGTTGCTGTTGGTGATGGAGTAAATTTGCAGTATTCACAATTCTCTTCCAAATAAGTAAACTCATCTCATTGATTAATGCATGCCTTTTGCAAAGTGTAGACATAATAATAAACTACCTGAAAATCCCTGGATTACTAAAGGCCTACTAAAATCTATACGAAAGAGAAATAGACTTTATAAACTATTTCTTTGAAACCCAGATCAATTAACTTAAATAAACAGATATAAAAACAAATTATCTATTGTGATTAGAGCTTTCAAGAAAATACATTATCTTATCTTTTGAGCAACTTACCAACTTCTTTACCCAACCGCAATCTAAGATACGTCTGTCACCATAATTGTAACCAATTTTGAATCTCGATGTACTTTGAAACTTACATGTACACCAGGAATTGCATATAAAGCAAATTCGAACCAATGAATGTCGTAAAATCCAAGAGGAATGACGATGCTACTGTGCTCTCCAGGTTGCAAAAGGCCTCCCGATGTTGTCCCAGTGTGAAGCCATTGAATGATTAAACGATTAAATCCCCCCAACTAAAAGAGCATCTCTGGGTTCAGATTGAGCATTTCTAATTATTCTCGTTCTTTCATCTGAATTGTCGTCTACAAATCCTTCTTGAATAACTTCAATGCAATGCGACTGGCTTCTACATAAATATTGATATTTTTCTAGAGTTAAAAGCATTAGATACATAAATGCCCTATCTTTTATTTTAGGAATTGATAATTCTTCTTCCAATGTTCTTTTTTGTTGATTCTCAAATTTGGTTTTTTGTTTGTTGAGCTCATTAAATTTTTGTATCGTGTTATTATTAAATTCTTCTAAATTTCCTGTCTTGAAGTTCGAATAAAACCATTTATTAAGTTATAAAACAAAACCGAACTGTCTGCCTCGAATTCTGACAATGGCACTGTAAGTTCAATTAATTCTGAAAAACTCATATCAATATCTTATTTGTCAGGTCCCGTGTTTGTTTGAGGTAGTTGTGGTAATATCGGATTTGGTTCTGGTGGTGGTACATCGTGCTCTTCACGTCCTTCACGCTCTTTCAGCCTTGCGGGCCTCCTTTCTCTCGGTCTACCATCAATGTGAGTTTGCCAGTTGATTTCGGTAGAGGTTGTAATGTTAAAATATCCAGGGTGAAAACTTACTTTTTAAACGCTAACAGCTTTGTTGCCTTTTAAATTATCCATGGAGTCTTGTAATTGAAACGTTTGGTCATTTTTAGTAAAGTTAAAAATGTGAGAAATTTCTTCCATATTTTGTTACTCTGTTTTCAAATCTAACAACTTGCATGTTTTTTCTTTTAGTTCTTAAAATTATGGGAGTTAATTTTAATGACTTGTTTATTCTCCTTTACACAGACAATTCATTTTAGGCCAAGTTTCCTGACATAACTTCATTTTATAAATTACCAAGGATAACAACAGATGAAGCCGTAAATCGTTGGCGTACAGATTCTTATCGTTTTTTTAAAAAATCAGATAAACTTTGCAGTCTATTGTGCAACGACTACGTGTAGTGCAGGTTTTGACTTAATTGTCGATCCCAACCCTTATATCAGCTTTGTTTAATTTTCATGTGTACTTTACGGTAAGAAAGATCTTGTTTGACTGTGCTATACCTACATGTATACCAGGTGACAATATTGTTGCGTTCCCTAAATATCAAGTCGATGGTAGCATGGACTTCATTAGTGTCTACGGGATGTGATATTTGGGGTCAACAATTTATCAACTCGCACTCGCAGCAGATTATCACTGCACTGCACTTATGTCAATGCAGAAATTGACACATGGATGTACCCTTGGCGGTAAACGGCAAATGCAAGAGAAAGTCCCCTGCACAGACCGCCGCGTCGACCAGCAGCAGTGCCGCACCATTCCGGTGCACAGATGAAGACAGTTCACCGCTGAAGTACGGCTTCACTGGTAATGGTGGTGCTGTCGATCCCCGTCTGCATCGCAGCTCAACCTGCAGTGAAGCCTTGGAGCTGTTTTTTGACGATGTTCTCTACAACAAGATAGTGCAAGAGACCAACCGGTATGCCGTGCAGAGGCCCACTACGACATCGGCGCACATGCGATCATGGACTGATCTGAACGCTAGAGAACTGAAGGCCTTTCTGGGCCTTTGCATAATGACGGGCATTGCGAAGCACCCTACCCTTCATAGCTTCTGGTCCACCGACCCACTACTGAAGATGAGCCTATTCCCATCCGTCATACCCCGAGATCGCTTTCTTGCCATCCTGCAGTCCCGACAACACAGCCATGCCGGAGGACTGTGATGACCGTCTCTTTAAAGTGCGCCCAGTCGTCGACCATCTTGCTCAGAGGTTTGCCACTGTCTACGTTCCTTGACGGGACATTTCTGTCAACGACTCCCTTCTGAAGTTCTACGGGCGTCTCCGCTTCGCTACCTACAACCCCAGAAAGAGGGCCCGCTTCGGCATCAAGATGTACAGGTTGTGCCAGAGCACTGGGAATGCTACCGGGTTCTGCTACAACTTCAAAATCTACGCCGGCCAAAGTAAGGGAGACCTCCCAGCAACTACACAAGTGGTGATGGACCTGGTGAACGACCTAAGTGGCATGGGTTACAACCTTGCCCTCGACCGGGCCTTCAGCAGTCCCGATTTGTTTCGACGACTTCACAACCAAAAGTTCAACGTCGTTGGCACCGTCATGGCCAACAGAAAAGGGATGCTGAAAGACCTGCAGTCCGTCAAGCTGAAGCGGGGTGAAACAGCATTCCAGTCGGCCGACCTGGGCGTCAGCAGTTCTCTTCTGGCCATGGTGTGGCGAGACAAGCGCAACAGCCGTATAATCTCCACCATGCATACAGCAGACATCCATGGCTCCGGCAAGCAAGACAGGATGGGGGAGGAAATGTAGAAACCGACCCTCGTCATCGAATACAACACCCTGATGGGGGGTGTTGACAAGAGCGACCAACTAGCGGCAAATCATCGAGCTACTCATAGGTCCCTCAAGTGGTACAAGAAGCTCTTCTTCTACCTGCTCGACTTGACGCTGGTGAACAGCTATGCCGTGTACCTGGCCGTTGGTCACCGCCTCTCCTTCCTTGACTACCGCTTGAGTCTTGTCCGTGAGCTGCTGTTGGACGAGCCCTTGCTCGAGTACCACCCCAGCACAATACTCCACCAGTCACCAACTCCCACTTTGTTGGCCGACACTTCCCCGTGGACTTTGAGAGGACCAGCTATGGCAACTTCCGCTACCGGCGGTGTGTCCTCTGTGCTTCCCGTGGTCAGTGAAAGAAGACACACTTCGAGTGCGACACGTGCCACCAGCCCCTCTGCGTCGCCCCCTGCTTTATTTCAACTATTTCAATGAGAAATGAAAAGAAAACACAAGAAGAAAAAAAGAGAAAAAGAAGTTCTCTCCAAATATTTATCTGTGTGTATTTCTATATGTACTTGATTTTACTAGTTTCTAAGGTTTTACTCAAAATTGTTGGGAGGATAAAGTTTTGGGAAAGGAAATATCCATTTTGAACTAAAACTTACACTGTAGGAGGGAAAATGAACAAGTTGGGAGATAAAATATGAGAGTGGTTTGGGGAAGATGTAAGTTTTGTAGATGGGAAAATATATAAAACAGAAAAAAAAACCAATAGCTTCAAAAAATAGCAAAAGTTATATGCAGCAGCGGCGCAAAAAAAACAACACTTTTAGACCCCATTTTTTAAAACATGATTCATTTGTCTGTCATGGCCGGCACTCATTGAACAGTTTACAAAGCCCGGTGCATGTGGGCACAGCTTCCCATTTACTCACCGCAAATTATACACCGAGGTCGCGACCGTTAATCGCTCTGCAAAGCAACACGGCAGTATGGCAATGCACTGGGCCAAGGCCCAGAACAAAAGAGCCCTTATTTAACACTTCACAATGGGGGCTCTATACAGAGCAGGCGGCGTGGCTGCAAAACCGATGGGTCAATTGAAGTTGCTCGTGAGGGCTAGACTCGCCACGAGACAGTCATTTTATGTTCAGAAACAAAAGATATGAATTTTTGAAGATTTTTGAAAATGAAAATAAGAAAAAACAGCCCGGTAGCGCATATAACAGTTTAAAAAAAGCACCCAGCAGCAAGTGGTTAACTCAGAACCAGATCTGGAACAATCGATCGAACAAATTCAAGACTCGTTACAATATGCCAAAATTTCTTTGAACTTTGTGGTGAGGCCGGGTTCGTATCTAGTGCCTTCGGACATGGATTTGAGAATCGGAACGTTTGAGGGATACAACAACATTTTACAAATCGCAACCAACGACATGCACCCACATTGACACACAAAGTGTACCAGAGTCAGACCTAGATGATTTTAAACAAGAGCCAACTCCGCAAGACCTGGGCGATTTTGAACAACTGCAAGACCCTGACAAGTTTAAACCAAATTCAGAAAGCGTAAGCCAAAGTAACGTAAGCCAGAGTAATGTAAGCCAGAGTAACGTAACTCGTGTACCTCAAGCAAATCCAGCTGCTACTAAGACTACTACCCATCTAGGCACTCACCAAAACGAAAAACTGGCACTTTTGTTCGGAATGGCCGCAATTTCACTGGCTTTGATTTGGTTTGAACAATTTGAACAAGGTGTTAAAAATTTTGACAGGGTTTATCTTCTTACTTTTTACCAGAATTAAAATAACCCAACACCAAAGCACCCACGGCCAAAAACAAAGCCCATACGTGTTCTGCTGCCCAACTGATAGCTTTACTCGCAACATTAAAGAACCAACTCAACACTCTCCCTGATTTTGGCCCGGTTATTGGCTCGGGTGTTATACCTATGCCTCTGACAGCAGCCACTATGCTAGCCACGATGGAAGTGATCGCTAAAGCAAAAGCTGACAAAATACGACCGTAACGCCTTGCTCTCTAAAAACAGTTCTGATTTTTTCACCGAGTGTTATATCTGAATGCATAAAAATCAATTAGTTCTGTAATTTGTCTGATTTGGTTTTTTAAATCACCTTCAAGTCTGTGTATAATAGATTTACTTGCTATTATTTGATCTCATAGTTCTTCTGTACGGTTTTCTCTTTGCGAGGTTTCTTCTTCGTTTTTTAGTTATGTTATCTCATTTTCATATTCGCTAATTTTAGCTCTCACAACTTGCATTTGACCTCTTATCAATTTTATCATTTTGTCATGACCTTTAAGTTCTCTACTGGGTATTTTCCCAATTTTGGTTTGGACATGTACCTCCGTGTCTTGAGTGAGGTTTTCTACGGTTTCACTTACTTGATCTGCCACTTGTTTCTCATTCTGTTCCGTTAATTGGTGTTCAAGTGAAATGTCAGCTAAAGTCGATTGCACTTCTTGAATTTTTTTTTCCATAATCACAGAAACCCAGTTCGTTTCTAACCAATTTTGGTCCATTTCGATACCCTGCTTGTTTCGTGTTATCTCTTATTGTATCTAGTTTTACAAATATGCTGGGGATTTTTTACTGGTTAACAATACTTCTTTGTATCTACCAACAGCTTTTTAAAACAGACCTTTACCTGTTCGGTATGCAAAATTTTCATAGCGGGGTTTCGGTATGTCTTTTCTATTATAATATTTATAGAAATTGTCTATTGTAGAATTATTTATAAACATCATTCTTCCTCTTTCCTCCTGTTTTTTTTTTTATAAATGGAGCTACATGTGTATACGGCTCCTTTTATTTCATTTATATACACAATAAACATGACATTGTCACAATTTTTTAATCACAAAAAGTGTGACAATTGAAAATATATACATGTACATATATCAATAACACCAATTTGATTAATTAAACTAAACAAAATTTTCAGAATTGGTGCTATACAAATAAAAACTCAGGAAAATAAATGAAAGTTTAGAAATTAAATTTTAGGCTCTCCCGATTGAAGTAACACAGAGCAGAATTTTTCATGTGAACGAGTTGAAACAGATTTGCGCCCAATCTCATTTTTTCTAATGTTAGAAATCTTCTAAGAGATGCTTTGTACTCGGAAAGAATACTTAGTTTACATTGACTCTCCAGCTGTACATATTTACATGTACATCTTGTTTTACAAATGATTCT